TTGTTATCGAGAGGGACCAGGACACCCTGCGCCTGGACGGAAAGCCCTTACTAGAAACTGCGAACATTACCGTCGACGAAGATACCGTGGCACTTCAATACAGTGACGACGACGCTGACTTCCTGATGAGGCTGACAACGGACCTTGACAAGGAGCGAGACACACAATACCGCGACGCAGTAACGAAGTGGAAGCGCAACCCAGGGAACAAGCCAAAGCCCGAGAGAAGGGAACGCTCGGCCTTCTCCGGGTACTACAATGTCATGCTGGCAAGCACTACGCCCGGTCTGGTGCGATGGCTAGCGCGTAACAAGAAATACAACAGCCTCCGCGCAGACGACATCAGGACATGGTTAGACGATCCAGCTACTTCGCCACTGTACGAGGACTTTGATGAGATCATCAAGGGTGACGAGAAGTGGGCGGAGCTTATGAGGTACGTTGCCCGCCTGGAGTCGACCAACAAGACGGGTGAGCGATCAGATGGTGCGAGGAACAAATGCATAATAGGTGTACGCCTGCCAGTGATCGGGCACCTATACGCAATCGTAAGTTCACATCAACACACATTGAGTATACATAGTATGCAGCCTAGCTAACAATGGCAGGGACTGGCGAAGCATTTCGGCGAGAGTCATCACAAGACCAAGGACGAGGCAGCGATTGAAAACCGAACAGTGACGACCATCCACGCCAGGATGAGCCAACAGACGCGCACACAGCACATCGACGTCTTTAACACGTTGGCATCGAAGACTCGATACTTTGTGTGCACCGTCGACGTGTTAGCAGAGGGCGTGAACATGACCGGCGCAAATCACGTTGTCGTGGTCGACACACACCCGCGGTCCGACAAACTCAAACAGTTCAAGGCACGTCCGAACCGATTTGGCCAGCTTGAACCGACCATCTACATACGACAGTACTGGAACACGCGCTCCCCAGTGGACGTCAACACCATATACCGCCAGAGAAACAAACAGCTCGTCAACGACAACGTGTCGTCGAGGTTACAGGCCGACGGCAAGGTGTCCTCGACAGTGCCGGGCGACGGCGACGTGGAGATGGACGACGGCGGCAATGTGCCAGAGGACAAGAACGACCACGTGTTCGACGCGCTGTGTAATATTTAGTGAGCACAGGGGGTGCCTCGACTTGTGGTGATATATCTTAGAACTCAGACATGATGATAGTACACACCAAATGGTATCTCAAAACACACAGACAATGCTCGTGATTAGAGTGACTGCAAGCTTGAGCGGACATACGCCGGGATCCACGCGGGCACGGCGTAATACATACATGGCACTACATTGACTGGAAGTCTCCTTGACCGCATGACACGCATTTGCATGTGCAAGGATATACACAGTGAATCACAGTGAGGCAGACCCTCATGCGACCCAACTTGAACTAGCGTATACACAGGCATATCGCCCAACGCATCCTCGCAGTGGGCGGACGGGATAAACACAGTGAATCACAG